CAGTCTCTAGTATGGCATTATGTAAAAATGTGAATGTGTAACCTATGTGATTCTGCAATCTGTATTTGGGGTAAAAATGGGAGTTCATAACTCACTTGAAACTATTGTTCGAAGTATGATATGTCAAGAGTTTTGTAATGTTGTGAACAACCAATAAAAAAAAAAGTTACTCTGACAATTGAAATAAAATAAAAACACTATTAAAAAAAAAAAAGAACTCTCACAGTGGTCCTCAATGCATTTTAGGATATGCTCTGTGTTATAGTTTATCCTAACTTCTGGGAGAAGCAGCAGATATTCCCTCTGGACCTCGGGCCTCTCAGCTAGTAAGCTGGAGGACACTGATTTTCCTGCTTCTCTCTTCAAAGAAAACAACATTGGCTTGCAGCTGATTTCTGGGATTTGAGGAGCTGTCAGGACTCCAAATATCAGGTTGGGTCATGCCAGGAGGAGAACCTGGGAGAAGGCCATTGGGAAGAGAGTGCTGTTAATTTAGGATGTGACTCTTCGGCATCCCTGACAATTAAATAGGTGTGACAAAGTACATCCAGAAATGTGCTAAAGACACAATTTCTCTTTTCTGCATTGTGAGTGCAGGTACCTACTAAAGTATCTACTTTATTTCTTATTTTTCTTAAATCCTTTAAATCATTCAATTGCTGTCTTCACTTCTTTACACAGGCTTTCCTTTCCTACCCTTCTCAGTTACATGTTTATTGCTTGTCTCACCCTCCACAATAGGACTGCCCAACATGGTAGCCACTGGCCATATGAGGCTATGGAGCCCTTGGTGTTTGGTGGGTCCAGATGGAGATGTTCTGTGAATGTGAAATATACAGCAGATCTCGAAGACTTGGATGAGTGTAAAATAACTTATTAAATGTTATTTAAGAATTGGGTGAATTTTATAACATATCAATTAATACCTTAAGGAATTTGTAAAAATAATTTTGGATCAATCATATTAAACTAGTATTTTGAATATGTTAAGTAAAATATATTGTTAATTGCACCTGTCTCTTTTTACTTTTTAACGTGGCTATTAGAAAAGTTGTGTTAGGTAGCCTGCATTATATTTATGGTGGAACACATGCTGTAAAAGGGACATTCCATATCCTTAGACTGGATCTGTACTGAATCCCCATAACTAGGATAGTACTGGCACAGACTAGCACTTGAAGTGTCCTTGTGGAATAAAACCCAGGAGTGTTTATTTATTTGACCCTTTAAACACTTAGTGTCTACTTGTTTCAGACACTGTTTTAGGTGTTGGAGATACAGTCAAAAAGAAAACAGATTAACAAATTATTATGGGGCTTAAAATTGAGATTCTTCGTAGGAAGGCCAGATATTTTGGTGAAAATGTTGAGAATGGTAATGACTAGCTCTCATTTTCCTTCGTGTTTAGGGTTGCAATTGACAGTGTTTTTTTCCACCTTGGTTATATATTTAGAACCTCCCAATCAAGTTTTAAAGACTACTGAAATCAGAATTTCTAGGGATTATAGACATTTGTTACTTATTTTCTATCATGTGTGGACAGATGTTCATTTTAATTCTAGCTGTGAGATCTCGATTCAGTCATTAAGTCCCTGACCATTTGTGAAACTGGAATAATTAGTCTTATATTCCCTGACTGCAGTGGTATTAATGAGGTAAGAGAACATGAACTCTCTGGCTGGCAGATTTTAGAATATGCTTTCACTTTTCCTTCTCTCTCCATTTAACAGAATGGGATTTTAT